TTCCCTAAGCCTTAAATAAACACATCATGGCCATTGTTCAAGTTAATTGGTTACCTGGCCAAGAGGTGAGCCGTTTTAGCGTTTTGTTTATACATCCTCGTGGTGTAGCCTTGCTGAGAACAAACCCATAAAACTACCTACATTCCTAATTTGAGAAGTGATGGCAATCGGCTTTTTGTGTTTTACATTGAGAAGTGATGGCAAACGGCTTATTGTGATTTACGTTGAGAAGTGATGGCAATCTGCTTATTGTGATTTACATTGAGAAGTGATGGCAATCGACTTTTTGTGATTTACATTGAGAAGTGATGGCAATCTGCTTGGTGTCGGGCCGGGAAGTCGAAAATCTATTTACCAGTAGTACCGGAAAGGCGAATGGAGGGGTAAGGGGTAAGGGACTTGGGACCGGGAAGGCGAATGAAAAGATCAGTGATGTGTACCCTCGTTATGTATACAACGGACACTTTTATACATTGAGGACACTGGGGTGTTGTGAGACGGAAAAGTGAAGAAAGAGATAAAAAAAATTGAACTCAGAGAATGTGATTACTAACTTCCATTGAACTCAGATTAAGTAATCTAGTAAAGAAACGATGAAGCTATAACAACACGCGGGAATCAGTTAATCTCTACTACTATATCTTGTATTGAGAAGATGCGACTTTAACGCAAAAGTTGTTTGAATTGTGAGTAGGATGTCTCTTTGTTCTGAAACCCAAGTAAGAAGTATATAAGATTTTTATATGTACAAGATCATTAACGTTCAAAACGATGGCTAATGCACAGGTACGTTTGATTTTCATCGACTCTGTTCGTGGCGGCAAGCATCTTTACTACAGTGGTCATAAGTATCGTATTAACAAAAAGACTGATGAGAAGACTTATTGGAAGTGTGTCACCAGCCAGTGCAAGGCCAAACTCATCACCTCCGATGATGTCCTTCAGTCATAAGGACAGGCACACAACCATGTAGAACAGCCCTTCATCATGCACGTTGATGCCTTCAAATCGAAACTAGTTCATCGTACCAAGACCGAGGTGACTCCTATACCCAGGATCTACGATGATGAGATCGCCAACCATGACGTTGTACCTGATGGTGTGCTGGCTGAGATCCCGACCTTTGCAGCGATGAAGATCCTTTACCGCCAGCGTCACAAGACTGTTCCATGCCCGCCCTCAAAGTAGACTACACGTCAACTTAGAAGGAGAGTGGACCCGTACTCAAGGAGGAGAGATTTCTTCATACGGTACCTATGTCAGAAGGCGAAGACCCTATCCTTATCTTCACTACTGACAAGAACCTAGAACTGTTGTGTGAAGCAGACATTGTGTATGCAGATGGCACTTTCTCGCCTTCTCCGAAGCTGTTCGACCAAGTGTACACCATTCATGCTGAGTTTCAAGAGCATATGTTCCCTCTTGAATTCTGTCTTCTACCAAACAAGGCAGAGTGTACTTACGTGAGAGCTTTTGAATACATCCAAGAGGCTGCACACAACTCCCGGACTCCCGGACTCCCCGGGTGTTTCAGCTAGACACTAACAGAAGTGAGGGTTGAGCAGCTAGGCGCTCACCCAAGAGCACCTGCTCGGAAAGTACCGAGTGATTGACTCTAGACCCCGTGCCTTGAAAGAAGATCTGTTGAACCAATTGACGACAACAATGGACTACACTGACGATGTGGCAGATCTACTGCACTGGGAATGAACTGAATTATTACATAAATGATAAAATGTATGTCTATATACATCTTCAAATACATGCATGATATATGATATGTTATACTATACTTGTTATATATTGACTTTGTTGCCCAGATAAAATAGTGTCCTCATTTCATTGGTGTTTCCTTTGTAATTAACAAGTACCGGGAAGGCGATCATCTGCCATAATAAGAATTTTGTGATGACCGGGAAGGCGAACATAATTTCTAACTCTGAGGGATTGATTTTCGCCTTCCCGGGCCATAATGTGATTTACATTGAAAAGTGATGACAATCGACTTTTGTGATTTACATTAGGAAATGATGGCAATCGGCTTATTGTGTTTTACGTTGAGAAGTGATGGCAAACGGCTTATTGTGATTTACATTGAGAAGTGATGGCAATCGACTTTTTGTGATTTACATTCCTAATTTGAGAAGTGATGGTAAATCAGCTTATTGTGAGCTGATGGTGAATCGGCTGTGTTTTGAGCTGATGGTGAATCACTGTGTTTTGTATCAAGGATCACCCAACATTCCAGTACGTTGATAGATTTACTTTTTGTGACAGACGTTGATAGTGTACGGGACTCGGGAGTACTTAATCCAGTTTGCAGTGATCACTACCCAATATTTGTAACCATAAAAGAAATAATCCCTAAATGCCATTCCTTCAAATGCAATGTGTACTATTATTCTATAGCAGACCTAGATGGCTGACATGCTGAATATTGATAGTGATTTATTATTCACATCGGGTGATGTGAACACAATTACTGACGAACTTACATCTCGAATTATAAAAGTTTTTGATGAACATATTCCTAATCAAATTGATAACATATGATAAAAGGATCCACAGTGGATCAATAGTGAAATACGTTCCTTTATTAGAAAACAAAATCGCCAATATAAGAAAGCTAAAAGACGTAATATTCCAGCTGATTGGGCAAATTTTAGGCTGTTAAGAAATAAAGTAAACGACTATGTCCTTAAGGCAAAATTAATACTGTAATAAATAGTTTTTATGGTACAAAGACTTGGTGGCGTTTAGTAAAGGATTTTCTTAAACTTGAAACTGCAAAGCATAACTTTCCCCGAATTATATTTTGGGATAGGTTTTATGATAATTCCATGGATATTGCTAATATTCTCAATAACTTCTTTGTGGACTAATCTCGCATATGTAATCCTTATAAGCATCTTCCATCTGAAGAATTAGAGCAAGTTTAAAATCTATTAGTAAATATGATTAACGAACTTGGTGGCCATGCTGATCACTACAAACAGGGCTTGTGCTGTACAGTCAGCAACTCCCTCATCCCACCATCAGCAGCACGAGCTCGAAGTCCAGCAACACCAGCAACAGCCACCATCCCCATCACCAAGACACCACCAGCAACCACAACAGTACCTTCCATCAGTACCACTACAGGAACCATACCAACTACTACATGATCCACACCGGCCACCACAGGATCCATACCGGCCACCACAGGATCCACACCGGCCACCACAGGATCCATACCGACCACCAAAGGATCCATACCGGCCACCACATGATCCATACCAACCACCACAGGATCCATACCGGCCACCACAGGATCCATACCGACCACCACAGGATACCTGATACTCAGCGATCTGGGGTCAGGAAAGAGTCAGCCTTTGTATCACTTGTGTCTCCCTTGACAAAGAACACTGTTCATGTAAAGGTGAAACAAGTGAGAACTACAGCTCTTGTTGACACAAGTGCATCAGTTAGGTGTGTCAGCATGGGCTACTTAAACAAAGTTGCCAACAAACGCTCTCATTTACGCCCTTCGCATCTGACTGAAATCATAGGTTTAGGTGGTGAAAAACATTCTGTGCTAGGTTCTGTCTCTCTTGGGCATATCTACCTCTCTCAAATCTTTCATGTCTTTCTAAACTTAATAAAAAAAAAAAATAATAAAAAATAGAGACATATTAACTAGACAGTTCATTTGCCAAATCTTTCCATTTACTGTCAAACTGTCTTATTGTATTGTTTTTGTGTGCAATTGATTTCTCTATCCGAAATATATCAGTTAAAGTCTTCAGAAACGTTTCAAGTGACAATTTGTTTTTCTTAATACTTGATACATGTATAGAGAATACTACACTCATTCTCGTTATATACCATTTTTACGAAACGAGTGGACTTTCAATGGTATCTGACCGAGCGAAAGCGAGGTCAGATACCATTGAAAGTTCACGAGTTTCGTAAAAATGGTATCTAACGAGAATGAGTGTGGTATTTTACTTATTACCCACGTTAAAATATATTTAAGTGTAAATACAAAACAACTTTCGTTCGTTGACAGACCAAACTGAAACCGGTTGCAAAATCTGGTTGGCCATGAATATTGATATATGACCAAATATGGGCATTGTTGACATGTTTATGCATACGCATTAACAACATGTGCCTGCTGTTCTGTTTGCAAACAAACCAGCACCGACGCTCAAGTAATTCAAGCGACATGTTGTTAGTACGCAGGACACCGATAAGAACATTTGAAATGTCACATTAGCGCCGCGCTTTGAATATAGGACCAACAGTCGGTCACTCGCGCTGCCGGGGTCCCGGCTCACAGGCCCCTGAAGCAGGATAGTGATATAACTGAAACACTGGACCCATATATATATATCGTCGCTATATGGCTGAGATAATGCCGATGCGACGTTAAATTTTAACTCACTCACCATATATATATAAATAGACAAGGTACGTCACTCGCCATCTTGGCCGAAGTGGAAATCGGCTGTATCGTGCCACAAACCTTTATTTTTTGCAATTTATTTCCTATATCGGGCGATTTTATCGACACATTGGCTCAGTCGCGGCTGTGGGTCACGGAAGTATACAAAAATCTCCGCGCTCAATTGCCTCGAGCGCTGTGATTGGTCCGCGCTCCAACCATAACAAACGCACATGGGGATATTTACCAATCAGAGCACTCGAGGCCATTGAGCGCGGAGATTTTTGTATACTTCCGTGACCCACAGCCGCGACTGAGCCAATGTGTCGATAAAATCGCCCGATATAGGTAATAAATTGCAAAAAATAAAGGTTTGTGGCATGCAGGTCGTATTTGAAGGGAGGTGTGGAGGTATTGTGAACATGACATGCACACATTTCCATTTAATTTAAACGATACAGCCGATTTCCACTTCGGCCAAGATGGCGAGTGACGTACCTTGTCTATTTATATATATGGGTCCAAGTGTTGCAGTTATATCACTATCCTGCTTCAGGGGCCTGTGCTATTTCCATAATAAACACACCATGGCTTATGCCCCTTGCAATATGACGTCATTGGTGCCAATTGATAAAGGAATGACGTCATAAGACTTTATTAGACGCGTTTCACGTGGTGTATGTAGGTGTGTGGTTCTATCTTCTCAGATGCGCAGCCTAGCTATTGTTTTGTTCGGTGCCGAGCTGTCCAAGATACAACGCTAAGCACAATTACTCAAAAATTATTTCGGTTTCCAAAATCGCGACTGAGAAGACAACAATGCACTGATAACATACTGTAAGATTCGCGATTATGGCTGGAAGGGTCCGTTGTATGAATTGCGCTTATTCGTTCATTTGTGTTGCGCATATTGGCTCTTGCTGAGTTGCTGTCGTCTTCCGTGAGAGTTTAGATACCTGCTGGTTCTGAAACCACAGGACCGTATGTAACTAATAATAACAATAAAAAAAACTCGCCAAAAAATTATAGACGAGGCCGAAGGCCGTTTTTGTTACTATCATTAGTTACATATGGTCTTGTGCTGAAACTGATCGGAAGCGGATGGTGTACGATCCTTATATGGAAACGGGCTAAAGGGACAGCACTCTCATCAAGACCCTGACTGGGATGTTTTTGTAAACAAACGCCGTAAAGTTGAAGTAACTCGATCAGGTAAGTTTGCTGTTTTAGTTTATTCTAACCACAGTAGTATTTAAGAAATGTATTTTAGCAGGGGTAGGGTGATATTTGTACATAGTTTCACTTGATAATCATGAATATCCGCGATGTTGTCTCGTTCACATGTTCACTTCCTGCATCATGCATGGTTATGTCGATACTCCTGATCAGCTGATCGTTGCAGTATGCAGCAAACTCCTGTTGATGGAGTAAGTTGTGTTACGTAATGTTTTAGTTTTACAGCCATTCCCGTCTGGAATTAACACAAATCATCTCATTTCGGTAATTAATAAACCTTATAATAACACAGGAAAACAAATTATAAATTACCGTATTCGACGTAATAAGCGCCCCGCTCTAATAAGCGCCCACGGCGATATTTGCTAATATATTGGCTAGTGAACAATCCCAATCAGCACCCCTTCCGATTGATCAATGTACGCAAGACTTATTTATTCGCGCATATTACGCACTCGTGTGTTATATCACCCTTAATTATGGGCAATTAAATTCTTGAAAAATATATCTGTCGTATGTAAACATTGCAGGATGTTTGCATAAACCACGAAATTTACGATCTTTCAACTCAAAATAATATTCTAATAAGCGCCCCCTATTTCTAATTTTGAGAGCGCCCTGGGCGCTTATTACGTCGAATACGGTATATAAACTCATTGAAATTCTGTGTGTGTGTGTGTTTGTGTGTGTACATAATCTTTGAATAATCATGTACAATAATTTTGATTCAGACTGTTTAAGCAAAAATCCGCAAAAATACATTGTTGCAACATGTTTATTTTTTATATTTAGGCTTTATATATATTTTTTTTAAAAAGATTTCTGGTTTTGCTGGTTTGTAGCTGACAAAATATCCAGTCACTATCAAAAATCATCGCCCACCTACCACCCAAAATATTCAAAACTCATGTTCAATGCAATTTACACACATATACAATTTATAGCAAATTTATACATGAAAACAATCAAGTTACCATTTTATATTTTGTGATAGTGAGATATAGATGACAAAAGTGTTAATGTTTCTATGTTGTATCTTTCAAATATGAAGTTTCGAGCCAAGTCATGCCAGACACCGATGCCCAGAAAGTACAGGTCCCCAGTCCATCATGGTGTACAGTCTCTGTCCAATGTACACCAGAAGCATGGCACACCGTGCTTCACAGTATGAGGTACAAAATAATATTTTGACAATGAATAATCACACAATGTAAATGCTATATGCAAATAATATCTGTATTGAACTATTTTGTGTATCTATTATATTCTAGATTGTTGTCTTTTGTTGTAAAAGTGTAGTGTGGATGACAAATGAACATTTACTGTGAATGACATATAAAAGTTTAGATCTGATACAATTTGTACACAGTTAACTGATGATATTTGTATTCAGGCACCCAGTGACATGCCTGACACTGCTGAAGATAATTACCACCTTCTTTTACAATTATTTAGTCAGTGTACATATTATTTTGACAAATCTATGTTAAAATTATTTTTATATTTTTCAGGTCCCACAATGATATGGAAGAGTATAAATGCGACAAAACCCTTTCCATATTCATATGAAATCTCTGTAAAAAACAGTTGATGGTACGATTCTGACTAAATCATGAGCAGGTGTTAATGAATCGCTATCAAATAATGATAATACCAGGTGTTCGCAAAAGGTGAGAGTATCCTGCCCCAACGGTGTCACAAGAAATACCTGGTGTTGAGATCCAATTTTCATTGTGTGCAAATTGTGTTTATTTTCATGCAGAGTTACAAGTCATAAAATATTAGAGTGTCTTGTGAGGTACAGTGCTTCCGACAACAAGAGAGCTGTACTTTTGAAATAGTCAACCAGTGCACTAACAAGTTGCCACTGAGCATTTAGCCAGTGCTTGTGATATTTTCTTCAGTCTTTTCCCGGCCTTCGCCCTTGCCCAAAACTACCTGATCCAGCATCAGCCATCATGTATTACAGAAACTTATCAAATGAAACAGCAAAGGCTGATTGTTGTCAGAGACCATAAAACAAGATTTCAATGAAAAAAGTTTTTTTTAATGAGCATAGAGAAAAACATTACATACATCAGATGGAAATCTTTCATGAATCACCTGGACAACACAAGATGGAATAATTTTTCTCTGATTCTTCAACTATTTCTGCAAATCCCCAAAGTGAACCTCTTGTTTATGAGGTGTAGATAGATTCTGAAATGAAAAAGTGTCTTTTATTAGTCAATCTATGCACAACATTACAAAAAAATATCATACCATTTACATATATATTTTTGTCATTAAATCTGGAGGGATGCTTATATAAGAAGTAACTTGTATTGATGATATATGCATAATTTTTATTACATGTTAATAATTCAATAAATACCAAAACAGTTTATAGTTCTATCATGTTGACATGATGTGTTTATTACTGTAGGTTTGAATACTTCTTGAAATATTGCGGGCATGTTTCAATATCTCTGATATTAATTAATAACCTTACAAGTTACATATGCTTTCACAACTTGCTGGCAAATAAACATTTATCGTACTCGAATCTCTTATTTTACTTGTCAGATTTGTTTGTTGTGCATGATAGATCTTAAAATGCATAATAAAATAAATTGATGAAAGTAAATCATATTATATGTTTTCTAAACTTTATTTGAAGTGTTAATATAAAAAAGGGTGGTGGGGTAGCCTTGTGGTGAAAGCGTTCGATCATCACACTGAAGACCCAAGTTCGATTCCCCACATGGGCACAACATGTGAAGCCCTTTTCTGGTGTCCCCCAGTTGTGATATTGCTGGAATATTGCTAAAAGCGGGGTAAAACCCTACTCACTCACTCATATAAAAAAATGATTGCATATTTCATTTGCATTTTAGGGGGTGGTTGTTACAGATGTTTTGCTCAAAAGGTCAGGTTGGGAGGTCCAAATTTCCAAACAAAGATTTACAATTTCAAATATTTTTCACTAATATTCAACAAGTTTTACTTATAGTTTCTTAGATAATTTATATGTATTGATTGTGACAGTAAATGAGCTTTTTGTAAACATTTTACATATATCTGGTCCACTCAGTTAAACAACCCACTGTTTTTAATAATTAATTATATATTAGATATTTCTTCTTTTTTATAGTTTCTAAACACTTTTTTTTAAAATCTGGTCCCATAATAGATGATAAAGAGTTTCCCTGCAAAGTTGCAGTGCATTTTCTATGAATGGTTGTCAGAACAAACCAATAACCAATTATCTATTAAATAGAATAAGATACTGTAGGCCTACTGCAGTAACTGGTTTCAAACACTAAACAAAACAATTGAGTGATCTATCTTTTCACTTTCAAATGGGGACGGTGTGAAGTGTGAAGTACGACATCCAATTATTTATCAATAAATATGGCAGGTATTTTGAACTCGGATGGGAAAATACCAAAGAGAATCTTTTTTTCCCCCAGTACGTTACCACTCGGCAACCGACTTTAGAAACGTACTGTGACGTACCCCATTTTCGTGTTACTCTAAGCGAGTAGGGGAAGGCTCCTATGTGCCGTGTGCCGGGAGCCACAAGGAAGTGCCAGTAAGCGTGAACCCAGGGGAGAGTTAAGTTACATAGACTGGCGGCAAGTCTCCCTCGCCAGATCCTTTATTACGAGGCTGTAGAAATACGGGACGCCCCTAACTCACATCCGTCTCCAGAACTCTCACGCCGACTTCTTGAGATAATTAAAATATTTTTTCAATGTTCTGCACTTTTTAATATAAATATAGTGTTTGTCAGAAAAGTTAGTTACATAGTTTACTTAATCAATTCTGGTTTATTTACGGTAGACGAATTTATATGACCATAGTGTTATTGCCAAACCCTTCAGTCAATTCTAATTGATCCAGACTGCACAATATCAGGGGAAATCATCATTACATCTCTGTAGTGTTTTGGTACCGTTAACAAAGGCGAAAATATTGCATTAGTATGTCGCATCATGTATGACGAACAATACACAATAAATTACTAAAAATACAACATCTGGCCGATTCAAATAATGGGGATTGCTGATTGTAACAACCTGTAAATACCTCCCATGGTAGGTGAGACGCCGTTTATGCTCCTGATTAGAATCGGTCGTCAGCAACCCATGCATGTCGTAAAAGGCGATTAACAGGATCGGGTTGTCAGGCTCGCTGACTTAGTTGATGTATGTCATCTTATTCCAATTGCGTAGATAGATGCTCATGATGTCAATCACTGGATTGTCTGGTGCAGGTTCGATTATTTACAGACGCCGTCATATAGCTAGAATACTGCTGAGTGCGGCGTTAAACAACAAACAAATCATCATTTATCACCATGCATTTGGTGAAGTCTACCGTAAGGACGAGCGCAGGATTCTCTGGAATGCTGAGAACACCGCAATCTATGTGTACAAAGCTTTGGAATTCCCTTTGCCTCCAACATTTGACAGAATTACCCTATCGCATCAGCATTGCAATTGCACATTCATCCAATGGGCTTTTGACGTTCAATGTGTATTGTGTAGTACAGTGGAATATCTGCTTCGGACTTCATTGCGTCATTGTTTTGACATCCAGGTGAAATGAACGTTTTACTTATTGTGGGGCCGAAAGTTAGTCTGATTTTTACAGAGGCCTGTGTTAGGAATATTATAGAAGTATTATTATGAATCATAGTATATTCGGCACCATTGATATCGCCTTGTATTACAAATGCTGATTAGTTAAAGTCCTGTCCCGACAGATTCCACTGTGCACGGTAATATTTGTAAATGTAATAGGTGTGAAGAAAATATGTCCATATTAGCGAAAGGGTAGCTCAGTGTCTCAATCAACGCCTAAACTGTCGAGTTCGATTCCTTACATCGGGGTAATGTTTCGTTTGAAGCCCATTCCTGCAGCCCCCCGACGCCGTGATGTAGCCGTTGAAGCCTATAACACCATACATATGCATTAAGTGCACACAATGAACTCAAACTTTGGGGTACATGATAACAAAGACATTTATTCATAACAGAATAATAAACACATATAATATATCCATTGTAATAAAAAAGGTGTGTTAGGTATACCTGCTTCAAATAGCTTCACCAGCAAATATTAACACACTCGGGATACTGTGACACTCAATCAACCGAGTCACCGAGTCCGACCACCCAGTCCACGTAAGTCGCCGCTTACGACAAGCACAGGTTACTTGAGGCAACGCCTACTTCTTTAGGACTCCCCATAGGGTCACATCAACATTTAAGGCCATTAATACATTTATATTTGTTATTCAACGCCGCACTCAGCAATATTCCAGCTAATGACCACGGGTCTGTAAATAATCGAGTCTACACCAGACAATCCAGTGATTGACATCGTGAGCATCGATCACGCAAATGGTATACGATGATATGCATCCCGTTAGTCGTCTTTTACTACAAGCATGGGTTGCTGAAGACCAGTACATGTACTAACCCTCGCGTTCTTGGGGTCGTGATTACATAATTAAGAGAGTATTAGATATAAACACAGAGCAAGTAGTACAAATGACACAATTATTCAAATGAACAGTTCACTCATTCACGTTGCCCTAGCGACTGTCACTTCTGTCCATTACACATACGTATGGAAGTTCCTTCAGACGACACTGAACTGAACTTTATATACATTTGATGGCTAATGGTGGTATTAGACTAGATGTACAAACATATATCTACAAAATTGAAAATATGGAAAAGAGTAAACTAAGTGAAGAGCCTTTGACTTTAAGTGAAGTGATTCATGTATTAGGGGTGTTCTGTAAACGTCAGATCTGAGAATAAGTTTGTCGGCCTTTGACACAGTGCATGGGTTGTGTCTGTCTGGACTGCTTGAGTACTCAGCTCAATGATGCCCAGTTTGCCACTGGGTGCGTGAGTAGATCTCTTGTCCCCAACAGTGATAACTCACCGGATGCCTTTTGTGTAAGTTCTATTCTTTGAATGACATTGTTATAAACTTGTCACAGCTGCTGCTGCTTAATAAACCGTAAGGTGCAATATATAGTTCTTTGTATTGTATTTATATTCAGGTTGGTATTTCTGCTATCCAAAGTGTGCAGTGAGGCCTTCTTATTCTTTATAGTAATTTTGGAGACAAAAGTGCTAAGTTTATGAACACACAAATGTCATTTTAGAAAGTGGTCATATGTAACAAATGTTATATTTTGGATGACACTTTCTTAGTAAAGTTCATAGCTTTCGGCCATGGGAGCTGTGCCAATTTACACTTGTCAGAACGGTACACAAAGTACGTGATCTAGACTACCAGTAGTCGTACTTCCATTTTTGCGTAAGCCTCGGTGGCTGAGTGGGTAATTAGATAGGGACTCAACCAAACAAAGTGCGAGAATTTGTACTTTACTAAGAAAGTGTTGTCCCAAATATGACACTTGTTACATATGACCACTTTCTGAAATAACATTTGTGTTTTAATGTGTTGTTTAGTTTCGGTTGTTTTGCTTGTACATTCCAGGAAGTGGGCAGTGTTCCCATATTTATAATGTATTGATTACAATCTAGTAGTAAATAGGGTTCATACACGACTTTTATATTTAATTTAGTCCCATGAATTGCACACTACATGTTCTTAATTTGCTGCAATTTCGCGTATTTGTTCATTGGAATATTTAGCTCTCTTTCACTTATCCAGCCTTGTAATAAGTGGATAATTTGTCAATTGCTTTACGCTAATTTCTATTAAACAAGTTTTCTGTGGCCTTCCACTAAGCACAAACATCAAATATTCAATATTCAAACAACATATCTTCTTAATGTCACTCACTCATTCACTCCAGTATCAACCTTTCACTCACTCTTATATCAACCCGGTCCTCATTTTTTGTAATAAATATACTCTTATGTACTCATAACGCTTTCTCTTAAATAAGCGCATATCCAATCTGTCATGAATCTGAAACAAAATAACGAACTAAAAGTTACATACATGACAACTGGACAAAATTGTAACTACATACGTGTATGAACAATTGGTTCAAAATCCATTTACAGCATTGTTAGATGTGAGAAGAAATATACTACAAATAGGCCTATACATGCATGTATGTAGGAGAATTGCTCACAACTATGCGAGATGTTTATTTGCGCTTCTCAAAACTGTTAACGTGGCAAGCATTAAATATTTAAGTCAAATTTCGAGATAACGATATGTTATATCGTGTCTAATTAGACAGATGCGGGTAAATTTATATGTATTTGTATAGGCGGTCGCGACCACAGACAAGGTTCGACATATCGGTACATTCGACAAAACACGGTTCGAGTATACATGTTGAAAATGCAAAAGTAGTATATTTACACAAAATGGTTTCAACGAAGTGACAGTCATTTAAGGATTACATGACTTCGACCTACATGACTTCGACCTGCATGACCTCGGCATTTTCTCTCCTCTTTAATATGCTGACAAATCCTTTCATTTATTATTGGTATACTCATATCCACGAACATCACACTCACTTACTCACTCACCCACTCAAGAATTACATACCTGTGTGCCTTGTTTCGAAATGCTTTCTGGCATGGTAGAAAATGAAATCTTCCACCACTTTGAGGAAATAGTCGTTCCTGAAAAATATATGAATCGAGTGACAGCAATTTTTGTGATGGCTGAAGCCTCATGTTTCTGTCACCCGTACAACCATTAGGACAGAACTATGTATTACAACTTACAATCATCAGTCACATACCTTGGACGTCCAAATTGTAGTACAACATCGGGTAGTATCAGATTTCTTTTTGTGATGTCATAAAGTCTGAAAATGCAAATTAAATAAATCACTACATCATTTCTGTATATTTGTTGGTAGTGTATAGCGTAAAACTATCGGTCAGTTGTGGAAACAAAGCTTATTCGTTCTTAATACGCGCTTGATTCTTATATAGTGATGACAAACAAACAGAAGCTTCTTGATGGAAAATTAAATATGTTCCTTAAGTTTATTTTATCCTATACTTACCTTGGACCTCTTGTCCTCGTCACCAAATGTGTCTCCATGGACTGCATCAGTATGGCATATCCCTGAAAGCAGTCATTCTATCATTAAGTCATGTCATGTACTCTCAGTATAAATTTACGTGTAAAAGTTTGGATCGAAAATATCTTCATATATGGGCATATCCGCTTTAGACAGAGGCCGGTTAGACAAATGTCACTGTAGTATGAACATACCGTTTATCTGTAAGCAAATTTAATATGTAACTCAGTATTTCTGTGTTGAGATGGTTATCAGTATTTCCAAACACTGGCAAATTAATAGGCGTTTTCAACATTCGTGAAGTCAAATTAGAGTAATATTTACAACAGCATTGAGGTGGGACATGGCCCTGCTCCTCTCCAGCTTCTTTCGTTGAAAATAAAGCACATGTCTCCTGAACTCTTCAGGTACTTCTTCTGTATCATTTGTTGGGTACCGGTACAGCCTGGGTACATCTTCATCAATTATCTTTTCCAACTAAAGGAACAAAACATTCCTAGTTATACCGTTCATCAAGTGTACACAGAAACATATTTATAAAGTTACAAATCCAATGGAATAAAAACGTCATCAAAAATACGTTTTCATATTGTTATTCGTGACACATTTACTACAGTCTAGAGATTAACACTATCTATCTATCTATCTATCTATCTAATTATCTATCTATCTATCTATCTATCTATCTATCTATATTGAAACTCACAAGTTGTTATGCCAATATAATATTTACAACTGAAACTAGGTCAATATATATGAATGTTCATACCACATTTCGGAATTCTGATCGTTCCACAGTCCTCAGCTCCTCGAGATCATCAGCAAGTATGTTCACTTGTTGGTCACCATATTCCTTCATGTCTACTGCAGGAACCGCTATTTGTATTAAACAAACATATTCATACTTTGAGTTTATACCATGGGCATCTTTTTCTCTCTGTGTGTTTGTCTGTGTGTGCATGTGTGTGCGTGCGTGTGCGTGCGTGCGTGCATGTGTGTCTTAATTCTTATATGAGGTTGGTTTCTAAACAAATACTCACGCATGGCTTTTCTTGTCACTGTCGTCTTTTCGACACATTTTGTGCTGCAATAATATGTAGTAAATTAATAATTATCTCTAGTATTCCCTCTTTCGCAACAGTAAATGCAATTAGTAATTATTCTTTCTCCAATATATTTTAATTGCTGTATGATAACTGCCTGCAAACTTATGTGACTAGTCGATGTGTATCAAGCGACACAAGTATAGAAATTTATTATTCACAAACTTATGATATCGTCTTAATCGTATCATGTTTCAAGCAAAGATTTATTATGATTATTAAAATGTTTTCATATATTATTGTCAAAAGTATCATACCTTTTAAGCTGCACCTCAGGATTCGGTTTCTAAATGAAATACAAACAATTCTATGGTCATTCACAAACCAATTTTTAACAAATGTATACTATTTATCAACCTAAGATACGAACTGTACAACACTCTCGTAAGTCTTCTTGTGATGGAGCAAGAACAGAACATTCAGTTATTTCATGAATCAGATTTTACTTTCTGTACCTGTGTTTGGATCTTCAATGCCGCATATTCAGGTCTTCGTATTCGTTTCAATGGCAGAGGTTGGTCAGCACACCACGAATCCGAAAATCTCTTCTGATTCAGAAACATATAGAAATGTATTTGTGTCCTGAGTGTAGTAACAGAATTTCAGGAGCGAATAAATTTTATATGAAATTTTGAAACAGTGTACCATTATTACTAGTTATTATGTTTAATGAATTATAGTACGAATTAAATTACGTCAATTCTATATTACCTTATGAAACCAGAAAGTGCACGTGAATACAACATGTATATAGGGTCGCATCACTTCCATGCAAACTTATGGAGATAAATTCACTGAATAAAAGTCGGCAAGCACAGACCCCGTTTTTCCGAAAAGCATGGGTTGTTGAAGACCCTTTTCTGACCCGGATCTTCACGGGTGTATTTTAGGTATGAATCATAACAGTTTGTTGTCATGGGTACTTAATGCATTATGTGCATAACACATGCATGTGTACTAGTTGGTTGGTTGGTTTGTTGTTTAACGCCGCATTCAGCAATATTCCAGTTATATGACGGCTGTCTGTAAATAATCGAGTCTGGACCACTGGACCAGACAATCCAGTGATTAATATCATGAGCATCGATCCACGCAATTGGGATAGATGACATGCATCAACCAAGTCAGGGAGCTTGACCCCCCAATCCCGTTAGTCGCCTTTTACGACAAGCATAGTCGCCTTTTACGGCAAGCATGGGTTGCTGAAGACCTATTCTACCCGGATCTTCACGGGTCGCATGTATACTAAATGTATTTTCAGTACTACATGAAATGGAATCGACCATCTAGATGTATCAGTGAAACCTCATTATGTTTTACCACTGGAACTTGCTCCCGCAGTCCGTATTTGCTTCGTATTTCCTTTGTTGTATTCTGAAATGGAACGATGTTCCAAGTAGCACATATTTTATAAGTAGAATAGAATTGCATGTGAATTACTTATTGAATATTCGAAATACGGGGATATATTTGTGACACATACCTTTGGTTAGCTTACGAACAATAAACAGTAGCGTATATGCCCATTACTGTCACAATTATTCACAGTGCACAAATAAAGTACCTTTGGTTCCACATCCTTCACTGCATTCAAAATTTCTTTGGCTATGAAAGAACGGCAACTGCTCGGGTCACACTGCAAAATATGTCATGTTTTTATTTTTAAAAATAATCATTGATACATATCGTCTGTAATATAACTGCTATACATTAGAACTTCAATACACCACAAAAACGGTCGTACCTTCTTGTCCTTGCTGCATTCGTTCCACGCATACTGAAACACGAAATCATATTCAATGTGACCATTAAATCACTCACTATTCCAGGTATTCTTTCATTTACATAAATTTAAAAAAAATATTTTCTTCATAGTAACCGTGAATAAGTCAAAGTGTAATCAGTGGCGAGAAAATATTTAATCGTTATTATTCAGTTTTGAACAACTCTTTCTAAGACCTTGCTGTACTCACTATGCATATGCAAACACCACAGCTTGTAGCATCCGTCTGTGTGGTGTACTCATGACTGACCTCTACGTTGAAGTTTGATAGGTCAATTGCATCATCTGGTACATTCTGAAGTCTGTATTCCATGTACTCCCTTTGAAGAAAAGTGCAAATGCAATGAGTTTGGACCGACAGGCAACGCAGCAGTTCATAGTAATAACGTAAGCAGCCATGTACTTGTAAGGCTATAAAACTACTTCATTTATTAATATAGATGTGGCGATATAGGGCATTTACTTATTCAGCAACCCTACCTTGTTGTGTTGACCACTTCTTCGTCTAATCTCCGGTTCAAGGGGTCATAGAAGCGCATTCGTTTGGCTTGTACATCCAACACCTGCGTCAGAAATAAGGAGTGACAGTAACTGTTGTACGTCTATATGTGACCTTCACATAAAGGTAAACTGAAAATCAAAGACGACGCCAGGTTTTTACGAAAGGGGTAAGCATGTCTCCCCAAATGGAAGCAACTGCCATTCACACAATTTGCACAAAAACGTATGTATTTGTTGCCATCCGACGTGGGCCTGTACACAAATCTGAGGATCAAGTGATCGACCCGAAATTCAGTCACACGATTGAAATCCAACACACGCCCACACACTTCGACGTGAGTCACACAACTACACACATACGATAGGCACCATTCATGTGTGGTCAATTTCTGTCTCAAATACCTAGGAAATACAACTTACCAGCAATGTCCAATGGCTTCCATGTCTGTGAATCGGTATAAACACTTTCTCTGCTTCCGAGAGTTTTTCCTGAAATACAACGAACATGGTCCTTTACATTCGGAACAATACTCAAATACCTACAATCTACAGTACAGGACTAAGGTTGTGCTGTCTCACGGCATTGTGTACTTAATCTCAGCCTACAAACGGTATCTCATGTCGTCCCTTGAACATCTCTGGTATCATATGTATTAACAGGCAATCGGTTGTTCACATATATTATTGAGGACATTAAATTTTGTTTTCTTTATTAGTGTAGCGAGTCTTTCACAGTAGCCTATGTTGTTGTGTTGTGGCAATTTTCAGTTAGCCATAAAATATTTAATTGAATAAAATATCACTGGTAAATTATATCTATGTTCATCTCATGTACATAGTTCGTTTCCATGTCATTATGTTAAAACATCAACCATCAAAAGAACTGCATCTATCTTCTATTAAAACGTTTCTTATGACATTCACTGCCCATATATATCTGACAACTGAAGACAGTATAACAACATGCATCCATCTTGAAAACATACCTTTTGTTTCATACCGTACCTCATATCATATTGTTAATCTAGAAGTAGTTCCAACAGTAGCATGTACATGATTAAAACGTCGCCATATACCTAGACTATTGTTTATTGTGGCATTACAACAACAAACAACATAATATCCCGTCTTAAGGTTTCATATATGTGCAACGATTAGACTTGACATGTATCCAGTTACCTGTTGCTACATTAAGGGAATGTTTGTCTTCATCAACTTTATTCAATTCATTCAATTCATTTCCTCAATATGTCGGCGTCTTTCGGCGGTTCAGAAACTCTTCCAGTGCATCTTATCTCACTTATGATACTGTCAATTTCAGAAAACGCTTTTTCTTGAAGATTTAATTTTCTTTTCTCAATAATGACAAGCCTTGCAAGGCTAGGCGATTCTTATTCACCAACCGACAGTGAATGATATCTTTTCCTCAACGTCATCTTCGAAATATTCTTCTCTTTACCCATTCCCACTTTATGACAAATAGAGAATACTAAACGAGCTCCTTTGTAATACTTATCGTATGAAACGAGTGAATAGTTCTGGTATCTCACGACCGAAAGGGAGTCCGATACAAGAAACTATTCACGAGTTTCATAAAAATGTTATTAAACAGGAGCGAGCTTAGTAATTTATTTATTACTTGCCGTTTATAACTTTTCTAAATATGTTACTGACCCACTATTACAAATATGGAAATGTCATAGAACAAACCAGATGATGTCATACTTGGGTTTTGACTATTTGTTCGGATAGGGATAGGTGACGTCATGTTCAATAGTGACGTCATCTGGTTTGTTCTATGGCGTTTCCATATTTGTAAAAGCGGGTCAGTGACATTCGTGTTGATTGCAGTAAATGTTTCAAAACCGATATCGTTGATTCTTTTTATTTGATAACAAATTCCATCCTTTTTAGCTATTATAACGGTAACGCTATTTTTCAGGGCATTATCATTTGCAGAAACCCTCGGTCTTAATGGAAGACCTCGGGCTTCTGCAAATGATAATGCACTGAAAAATAGATTTACCCTTATAGTAACATAAACTTACGTCTGTCGTTGCTCTACTATCGACTTGTGGAACAGGATGCTGCATCAAAAAGATTACAACACGTCACAATACCCTCTGACGTAATATGTAGAATATTGTTACAAGATCCAACCACGAAACAATGTCATGTGACGTCAGCATAGCATCAGGGTTGAGAGGGTCATTGCGTGTGCATACCCTCTCAGTGATCTATCGTCACTACACGCAATGTCGTTGAATAAGCCCAGGGATGTTGGGAGTTTTCAATATTTGTTACTGAAACTTGTTCCCGCAGTATATAAGCACGCGCTTTGGTATTATACAACGTGTTATACAGCTGTATGTTTATTAAACGGGTGATCTCTTTACGGGCGAATAAAAAAACTATATATTCCCTTGGCATATTTTGTCTTCAGTTTAAAATTGTAACTGCAGATATTTCTAAAAAGCAATTCTGACCTTTTGAACAAGTGGCGCCCGGCGTCTCCTTTTGGACTTGAAATGTTGCCATCCCTCTATAACTTGGCTTGATAAAGCTGCGTTTCTCTGCTTACCCCGAAACAAATAACATATTCTAAAATAGCAAGTGATATATTCAAGGACGAATATTGTTTTGGTATTTGCACACATTATCACAATTTGTAACAAAGTTGATTAATCTATTAATGAATGACATGGCATCTTGTAAACATATCTACATATCATTTTGTACATATCATATGTATATATCACGGTATGTTGAATATCCTGTCACTTACCCCCCGCCTTTGACACAGCACATACAAGAAGACGTTTATTATCTGCAAAGAAACATAATATTATTAACGTTATTGTTCCACTTTATCACCGTTTAATAAATGTACTTCATGTGTATACAGTGGTGTACACATACCTGATCATTTAACCAGCCCACAGTCCATCTGGTCTCTTTGTCAATTTTCACTCTCAGCTGGTCTTCTGTTTCTTTCGGAAGTATTGGTGCTATTGTCAGAATATCCAATTTTGATATTCGGTAGGGACCTATCGTCACTACTATTTCGTCCAATCTTCTGTCATCATTACAGATATCTTGAAACTGAAAAACATACAACAAATTATATCTATATATCAAAGATATCATTGTATCCGCCAAGTTTATATTTCCTTTATATATTGTAAGTGTACTTAGTTATAGGTTACAAGTAACAGTTAAAGTTAAACCGCCCTGTAATAACAAACATTATTACATGACTCTCTACCTTAAGGCAGTTCGTCCTGTATCGTAAGCATATTTGTAAAGACGAAAATATCAATATGTTTCATCACACTCACCACATCCTCCGCCGGCAATGGTGATGAATCTGCTTGCGCGGTGGAACATTCCACTTGTCCTAAAATAACAATGACGGATTGTTTCGGCAACAGCTTGCTAAAATGACATATACGTCATGTATACTTTTTTTATTACTTGTACTTATATACATTGCAAGTGATTCCATGGCATTTCATTGACTAACCAAGGAATTTTAGGCGGAAACAATTACCGAAAAATATTTAGGTCACTAACTGTGTTATGATTGGCTTATGAAGTGTGTGCGCTGTTTTAGCTCGAAATGTTGGCTACAGTTGTGTGTTTAATGAACAGTCTGTGAAGTTACTATCGTTGACGTACTTATTTATGCTTATGTACACAGTGTGCAAACCGGTTTTTACCTT